CTTACACCCACAAAAGTCATTCCAGTGATATCTGTACCTATACACATGCTCCACCTCATGCCCCCTCTCCTCTTCCCCTTTTGGACTTGACACACCTTCTAATTATCCTTCCATTTTTACAATAATGGTTATAATGCAGTATTCGTTCTTATGAGACTTAGTTTGTTCACTCAGCACAATGCTCTCTAGACTATCTTGTAGTTATTTTTGGTTTTTCTTTAACTCGGCCATACTTTTGATGGTGGAGGTGTGTCTTTTATAACTGGTTATATTGGAAGCAGGAATGGCATCCACTTCCTAAACAACATTCCTTTGGAAACTATGAACTTTGATAAATGTAGATAGTTACAGAAAAGCTTCAGGCCTTTTGTTCATAGGGTCGCTGTGAATCATGCTCGACTTGAAGGCAATCAACAATAAAGACGACCATTAAGAAAGTCAGTTCCCACTGCAATCCAAGAGGTGCACAGTTCGAATCCACCAGATGCTCTGCTGGAGAAGGAGGAACAATTTCCTCCTGTACTAGTCAGATCTGATTTGATGGTACACACAAAACATAATAAAAAATTAAAAAAAAAAGTCAGTTCCATCTAATAGCACCCACATGTGCCTGAGTAGAATGCCCCAGTAGAGTACATGATATAATCATAGAGCAGATAGATTGTCAGCGCTTTCCTGTCATAGAGTGGTTGGGTGTGTTCAACCTGCCATGCTAATGTATTAGCTTAACTCATTATTATTACGTGCTGTGAGGTTGAAACTGACAGCCGAGCCCCCAGTTGCTTTTCAGAGGCAGTAAATGATATGGAGGAGATTGCCCATCTTTTCTCCACAGAGTGCCTACCGGATTCAAACCATATATCCCTTTTGGTTGCCAGCACAACGTGGTACCACCAAACCACCAGAACTCCCCTGGTAAAATCTCTTTTCTGATACCATTTGCATTTTTGTCATTTCTCTTCAGAACTCCTGATAGCTTGCTCTTTGACTTTTTACTTCTCCTCTCTCAACTCTGTTTCCTATTCTTTGTGCCCTAGTGCACCCAAAGTAATATTCTAAGTTTTAGTTTCCTCATGTATCTTCCCATCCCCAGAGCTGCTAAGTTTGTGTACTGGATATACCATATTCCTTATGTAGTATGTATATAAGGCCTGCCATTCTTCATGCTGAATCCTACACAAAGCTCCAAAACACAAATTTTCTCAGTCCCTTTCATGATTTTACCTATGCTAGTCTGAAAGTGTGTCTGATACAGGCCATGGTCTTCACAATCACCTGTTATGCATCAGAGAGTTGGACAATGACCAAGGAGGATAGAAGGAGAATTGATGCGTTTGAGCTGTGATGCTGGAGAAGAGTATTGAGAATACCCTGGACTGCTAGGAAAACAAACAGATTTGTCCTGGAGAAGGTTAAACTGGGTGGCTCCTTGTAGGCAAGGATTCTGAGGCTCCGTCTAACATACTTTGGACATGTTGTGAGGAGAGACTGGTCCTTAGAGAGGGACATCATGCTTGGGAGGGTGGAGGGACAGCGCAGGAGAGGAAGGCCCTCTATGAGGTGGATTAATTCAGTGACTGGGATAATTGGGATTGGAGTGTCAGAGACAGTGTGATTGGCACAGGACAGAGCGGAGTTTAGGGCTGTTGTACATAGGGTCGCTATGAGTCGCAAGCGACTCGACTGCACATAACATCAACAACAACAACAGTGTACAAGTAGGGAAACAGAAGTTGTATGATGTGCCCAAATTCACACAGGTGGTGGAAGTGCGAAGTCCTGACTTCAAAACCAAAACATGGCACATAACAACAACAACAACAGTCTGAAAGTAGAATACCAGAAGTGTGTCTGCGTTTTAGTAACTATACAGTGGTTTCTGATTATATGGTTCATAACAAGTTATTGCTCATACTGAGAAGAATGTGAATCTCAGGACACTTAATTGTTCCCATGTAAAACCTATACCTGGACCAAGAAGCTGTTGTCCAAACAAAGCAAGGAACACTACGTAGTTTAAAACAAAAAACATAGTGTGTCTGAGCTGTATGTTTTCTCGATACCTATTCAGTCTGTATGAGCAAATCTCTCAAAAAACTGGACTTAAGGCAAAATGTGATACCAGGATTGAAGGAAAACTCATCAAAGCCTGTGTTATGCAGATGGCACAACCTTACTTGCTGACAGTGAGGAGGACTTGCCACACTTGCTTCAGATAAAACATTTCAAAATGGGGTTGTTTTTATAATTTATTCTGCTAAGATTAGTAGCTGACCAGTTATAAGAAATGTTGATTATTTACCTTAATCTTGTTGTGGTATTCAAGTGTTTTATAAATTCTGGATATAAGTCACTTATCTGATATGTCATTACCAAATACTTTTTCCCAGTGAGTGGCTTTCCTTTTTACCCTGTTGGAGAAGTTTTTGGATGTGCATAGGGATTTGATTCTTAGAAGATCCCATTCATCTACTTTATCTTCTCCTGGTTGTAGGTTTTTCATGATACTTCAAAAAAATCTCGCTGCTGCTGTCCAGTAGATCCTGGTTATTGTGACACTGTAGAACAGAGTAGAACTGCCTTATACGGTTTCCAAGCAGACGGCACTTCTTTCTCCCTCAGCTAATGAATTCAAACCACTGACTTTTGTTTGGTTAATAATAGTGATTAGGGAGCACTGGTGGCCTAGTGGCAAGAAGCTATGCACCAATCACAAAGGCACATGGTTCAAATCCACTAGGTGCTCCACAGGAGAAGGATGGGCAGTCTCCTCCCTTGTGATTAACTGCCTCTGAAAACCTGCTGAAGGGTCAGCCATGGGTCAGTTCCAACTTGACGGTACACAACAACAGCAATAGTGATTAGATGATAAGTAATTTATAATAGTGATTAATATTTGTGATTTAGTTTACAGCTTATAAAATGTTTTTACATTGATTTCCTTATACATTTATAAGTGTGAAAAGGATTAAAATGACTTATCTAAAAATGAATGTTAATTAATTTTATTCTCACATTACTTTAGGCTAACAAAAGATAACTCTTTAAATTTACTCTTTAGAAAACCTACCATTTACTGTATTTTAATTTTTAAGGATAATTAAAACTGAATAGAAATCCCTTGTAATTCTGTGGTAGTTGCAGTTGTGTGCTTCTTTAGTGTGGGACTCCCCATGGGTTTTAAAGCAAGGTGGTGGTATTGTCCAAGTGTTTCTAATTAAATGTAAAATTAACAGCTTGTCATTTTGTGGTGGGTTGTTTAATTTGTTTGCCTATTTTCTGGAAAGTTGTTTAATTTGCTAGCAGGAGCCAGAAAGTGGAACCTTTTTATATGTCTGATGAGTTGCTGTTGTCACTTACTCAAGAGTAACTTTTTAAACAATATGGTGCATTGCAAACTTGATGTATAGTAGCACTATCTCGGAAATAATTCAAATGAGAATATTTTAAGTACTTAAAATCAGGAAAATCTAGTAAACAGTACTATAAAGTAATTTGCTCTTTCAACCTTATGAAATTCATTGAAAAGATTAAATGTGACAAAGTCCTCTTTCTGTTTAAAGTGCTTTGTCATTATGAGTTGAAACAAAAGTTTCATTTCATTTCTATGCAGTTGACAGATGAGGAGACCCTAAGCAATTTCGAACCTACAACCTTTTAACTTTATGGTCCTGAGTTTTTCTGCTGGGCTCTAGAAGGATACTATTTGTAGTCCATAGAAGATTCTAGTATGTATTTTAAGGGAATATGTGTCGCTTTGGGGGTCACTCCAGCATTTAGCCTCTTTCCTTAGAAGTCGTCATGTGTAATCTACCTCTTCTTGCTCTATTTGAAAAACTCAAATCAGCCATCTTCTGTCTACCAAGAATTTAAGGCACAGGAATATAGCGTGGACTCCACCAAATAGTCATGCCAACTTTCTAATCTGAAATTATAAAGAAGCAAGAAAAAAGGACAATATTTTCATTTACAGTTGTCATGGCAGCAGTGGTGGCCACCATTTGCAATTCTTGAGTCAATAGTTCCAACAGCAGCATTTAATGGCAGCTGTCCACTTTGTCCTAGTAACCCTATTTATGTAGAATAGAACTACCAGCATACAAGATATTTTTCAGTCTTCATAGAGGCCATTAGCAAGGTCTTTCTTAGACAGAGGTACTGAATAGGTTCAAACCCCTTTTGATTAGCATCTCAACTGAAAGAATGTGTGCTGCTTGTATAAATTTTCTTGTCAGTTTTCTAGTCTTAGTTAGCTGGCCCAGCTTTACTATCTCTTCATTTGTCAGTTTCATTGCTGCTTCAGCATTGCTATCCTCAGCTTCATAAGGACAGAAGCTGTGGGGACCAGTGAAGAAACTGTTGAACAGTCTAGATGTGCATTGATAACCTGGAAAAAGGTAATAGTGAGCAGGGATAGTTAAATTTTAAATATGGAAGGTAGATATTTAAAAGGAGAGGGAAAACTGTTAGACAGTTTGACCTCTAAGATTATGTGATTTACTGAAAAACTGGCAGTTTTAATCCGCCGAGAGGCATCTTGGCAGAAAGACCTGGCCATCTGCTCCCCAAAGGTCACAGCCTTGAAACCTGTGTGGAGTGCTGTTCTCTTCTGGAGCATGTGGGTCACCAGGAGCCAGAATCAACTCATGGTTTGGTTTTATTATCTCTGGTGAAATTATTAAGCATAAAGTATTAGTTGGTATTGTAGTTATGTGCCGTCGAGTTGCCTGCGACTCAGTAGCGACCCTATGTACAGCAGCTCTGAAGGCTGCCCTGAGTCAGTCTCACTGACTCCAACACACTTACCCCCATTGCCCTAGTCACTGTGTCTATCCGCTTCATCCAGGGTCTTACACTCCTGTGCTATCCCTTCACTCTTCTGAGCATGAAACTTATAAAACTTAGGTTAAAAGTGGTTGGTGAAATCATTAACCTTTATTGTGGCTTTAAAAAATACCTGTTTCTGTAGTATCTTTAATGTTAATTTGGTTTTCTTTTAGGAAGATTTGGAGACTGGAGTTCACCTTGACCCTGCTGTCAAGGAAGTTCAGTATAATCCTACCTATGAAACCATGTTTGCTCCTGAGGTAAGAAAATATGTATTATTTTAAGAGTCTGCCTTTTTGCTGAAGTATTTAAATTATACATAGGTTGACAGTGGCTGATACTTGTTTTAAAATATTCATAAAGAAATATACAACTTAAACTTTTGAAAGTTTAGAAACTGGGATGGTGCCCCACCTATGTATAGATATATGATAATGTGGAATTACATCTGTAGAAAAAGACAATTCTTTTATTTTTTTTTTCTCTCTTTTTTTTTTTTTAAATTGGGAAAAACATATTGAGGGTACAGGAGGTGAGGGTTGGGGGCAGAAGGGTGAGGATGGGCC